CTTATGCCAACCCAATATATCCAGCGTTATCAGGATTTCCCCTATAAGATAACCAACGCACATCGCATCAGTATATCCCTTATGCCAACACCAGAAATCCAGAGTTATCAGAAATTCCACTATAACGTCACCAAAGCCCACCGCATCAGTATATCCCTTCTGCCAACCCCATATATCCAGCATTATCAGGACGTCCCCTATAACATCACCAAAGCCCACCGTATCAGTACATCCCTTGTGCCAACCCCATATATCCAGCGTTATCAGGACTTCCCCTATAACATCACCAACACCCACCGCATCAGTACATCCCTTATGCCAACCCAATATAGCCAGCGTTATCAGGACTTCCCCTATAAGATAACCAAAGCCAAACGGATCAGTACATTCCTTAAGCCAACCCAATATAACCAGAGTTATCAGGACTTCCACTATAATATCACCAAAGAAAGCGCATCAGTACATCCCTTATACCAACCCCATATATCCAGCGTCATCAGGATTTCCACTATAACATCACTAAAGCCCTCCGTATCAGTACATCCTTTATGCAAACCCCATATATCCAGCGTTATCAAAACTTCCCCTATAACATCACCAAAGCCCTCCGCATCTGTACAACCCTTAGGCCAACACCATATATGCAGCGTTATCAGGATTGGCACTATAAGATCACAAAAGCCCATCGCAGCAGTACATCCCGTATGCCAACCCCATATATCCAGCAGTATCAGGGCATCACCTATAAAATCACAAACGCCCACCGCATCAGTACATCGCTTATGCCAAACCCATATATGCAGCGTTATCAGGACTTCCACTATAACATCACCGACGCCCACCGCATCAGTACATCGCTTATGCCAAACCAATACATCCAGTGTTATCAGGACTTCGCCTATAAGATCACCAAAGCCTACCGCATCAGTACATTCCTTATGCCAAACCCATGTAACCAGCGTTATCAAGACTTCCCCTATAATATCACCAAAGCCCACCGAATCAGTTCATCCCATATGCCAACCCAATATATCCAGCGTTATCAGGACCTCGCCTAAAAGATCACCAATGCCAAGCGCATCAGTACATCCCTAATGCCGACCCGATGTATCCAGCGTCATCAGGACTTCCACTATAACATCACAAAAGCCCACTGTATCAGTACATCCCTTGTGCCATCCCCATATATCCAGTGTTATCAGGACTTCCACTATAACATCACCAAGGCCCACTGCATTAGTACATCCCTTACGCCAACCCCATATAATCAGCGTTATCAGGACTTCCCCTATAACATTACCAACGCCCACCGCATCAGTACATCACTTATGCCAACCCAATACATCCAGCGTTATCAGGACTTCACCTATAAGATCACCAAAGCCTACCTCATCAGTACATTCCTTATGCCAAACCCATGTAACCATCGTTATTAAGACTTCCCCTATAATATCACCAAAGCCCACCGAATCAGTACATCCCTTATGCCAACCCAATACATCCAGCGTTATAATGACTTCGCCTAAAAGATCACAAAAGCCCACCGTATCAGTACATCGCTTGTGCCAACCCCATATATCCAGCGTTATCAAGACGTCCATTATAATATCAGCAAAGCCCACCGAATCAGTACATCCCTTATGCCAAACCCAAATATCCATCGTTATCAGGACTTCCCCTATAACATCACCAACGCCCACCGCATTAGTAAAACCCTTATGCCAATCCAATACATCCAGCGTTTTCAGGACTTCGCTTATAACATCACCAACGTCCACCGCATCAGTACATCCCTTATGCAAACCCCATATATTCAGCGTTATCAGGACTTCCTCTATAATATCACCAAAGCACACCGAATCAGTACATCCCTTATGCCAACCCCATATATGCAGCGTTATCAGGATTCCACTATAATATCACCAACGCCAACCGCATCAGTACATACCTTATGCCAACCCCATATATCCAGCGTTATCAGGATTTCCACTATAACATCACTAAAGCCCACCGTATCAGTACATCCCTTATGCCAACCCCAGAAATCTAGCGATACCAGGGCTTCTCCTATAAGATCACCAAAGCCCACCCTATCAGTACATCCCTTATGACATCTCCATATATGCAGCGTTATCAGGACTTACACTATAGTATCACTAAAGCCCACCGTCTCAGTACATCCCTTACGCCAACCCCAGAAATACAGCGTTAACACGACTTCCCCTATAACATCACCAAAGCCCACCGCAACAGTACATCCCTTATGCCAACCCCAGAAATCCAGCGTTATCAGGAATTCGCCTATAAGATCAACAAAGCCCACCGTATCAGTACATCCCTTATGCCAAACCCATATATGCAGCGTTATCAGGACTTCCACTATAACCTCACCAACGCTAAAGGCATCAGTAGCTCCCTTATGCCAACCCAATATACCCAGCGTTATCAGGACTTCCCCTATAAGGTCGCCACCCACCGCATCAGTACATCCCTTATGCCAACCACATATATCCAGCGTTATCAGGACTTCCCCAATAACATGACCAAAGCCCACCGCATCTGTACATCCCTTATGCCATCCCAATATATCCAGCGTTATCAGGACATCCCCTATATGATCATCAAAGCCCACCGCATCAGTAAATTCCTCATGCGAACACGATATAACCAGCGTTATCAGGACTTCCCCTCTAATATCACCAAAGCCCACCGCAGCAGTACATCCTTTATGCCAACCACATATATGCAGCGTTATCAGGACTTCCACTATAACATCAACAACGCCCACCACATCAGTACATTCCTTATGCCAAGCCCATATAACCAGCTTTAACAGGACTTCCACTATACCTTCACCAACGCCCACCGTATCAGTACATCCCTAATGCCAACACCAGAAATCCAGCGTTATCAGGACTTCGCTTATAAGATCACCAAACTCCAGCGTATCAGTGCATCCCTTATGCCAACCCCAGAAATCCAGCGTTATCAGATCTTCACCTATAAGATCACCAAAGTCCACCGTATCAGTACATCCCTAATGCCAACCCCAGAAATCCAGCTTTATCAGGACTTCCGCTATAACGTCACCAAAGCATCAGTATATCCCTTATGCCAACCCAATATATCCAGCCTTATCAGGACATCCACTATAAGATCACAAAAGCCTACCGCATCAGTACATCCCTTATGCCAACACAATATATGCAGCGTTATCATGACTTCCCCTTTAACATCACCAACGCCAACCGCATCAGTACATCACTTATGCCAACCCCATATATCCATCGTTATCAGGACTTCCCCTATAACATCACCAACGCCCACCGCATCAGTACATCACTTATGCCAACCCAATATATCCAGCGTTATCAGGACAACCCAATATATCCAGCGTTATCAGGACTTACCCTATTACATCACTAAAGCCCACCGTATCAGTCATCCCCGCCAACCCCAGAAATACATCAGGAATTCGCCTATAATATCCATCTCCAATATGCAGCGTTATCAGGACTTAACATCACTAAAGCCCACCCTATCACATCCCTTATGCCAACCCCAGCAATCCAAAGCCCACCGTATCAGTACATCCCTTATGCCAACCCCAGAAAGGACTTCCACAGACCAAAGTTCAACATCCCTTATGCCAACTTTATCCAGCGTTATCAGGACTTCCCATAACATCACCAACGCCCCACATTCGCAACCCCAGTACATACAGCGGTATCATCCCACTATAACATCATACCACCGTACCGCATATATGCAGCGTTATCAGGGGTTCCACTATAAGATCACCAAAGCCCAGCATGTCAATACATCCCTTATGCCATCTCCATATATGCAGCGTTATCAGGATTTCCACTATAACATCACTAAGGCCCACCGTATCAGTACATCCCTTATGCCAACCCCAGAAATCCAGCGGTATCAGGTCTTCCTCCCTAAGATCACCAAACCCCACCGTATCAGTACATCCCTTATGCCAACCCAATATATCCAGCGTTATCATCCCTTTATCACCAAAGCCCAATATATCCATCCGTTATCGGGATATATGCAGCCTTCCCTTCCACTATAAGATCACCAAAGACCACCGCATCAACCCCAAAATCTAGCGTTATCAGGACTCCCCTATAAGATCACCAATAACCCCATCCCTTATAACCAGCGTTATCAGGACTTCCCTAGATAACATCACCAACGCCCACCCCATCAGTACATCCCTTTATATCCCAAAGCCCAATATATGCAGCGTTATCAGGACTTCCACCAAAGCCCACCGTATAACATCAATAATCACCAAAGCCCACCGTATCAGTGCATCACTTATGCCACCACCGTATCAGTACATCCCTTATTATCAGGATTTCCCCTATAACATCCCAACGCCCACCGCATCAGTACATCACTTATGCCAACCCCATATGTCCAGTACCATCTAACCATCAGTACATATCTTACGCCAACCCCATATGTCCGTTAAAACATCACCAACGTTCACCATCCCTTCGCCAACCCCATATATTCAGCGTTATCAGGATTTCCCTATAACATCAAACGCCCACCGCATCAGTCAATATATCCCCAACCCCATATGTCCAGCGTCTCCATATATGCATCAGTACATCCCTTTACGTTATGTTCAGCGTTATCAGGATTTCCCCTATAACATCATCAGGCCCATATTCAGCGTTATATCACCAACGCCCACCGCATCACATCCCTTATGCCAACCCCAGCGTTATCAAATTTACCAGCCCACCGCATCAGTACATCAGGAACCCCATATGTCCAGCGTCCCTAAGATCACCAAACCCACCGCATCAGTACATCCCTTACGCCAACCCCATATGTTCAGTTACATCCCTTAACATCAAACGCCCACATCATAACCAGCGTTAACATCACCAACGCCCACCGCATCAGTAACCCCATATGTCCAGCGTAATCAACTTCTCCACCAAAGCACCGCATCAGTACATCCCTTAACCCCAATGTTCAGCGTTATATGTTCAGCGTTACATCCCTTTACGCCAACCCCATTATTCAGCGTTATAACATCACCAAACGCCCACCGCATCAGTACATCCCTTATCCAACCCCATATATTCAGCGTTATCAGGACTTCTTCTATAACATCACCAACGCCCACCGCATCAGTACATCCCTTATGCCAACCCCATATATTCAGCGTTATCAGGACTTCCTATAACATCACCAACGCCCACCGTATCAGTACATCCCTTACGCCAACCCCATATGTTCAGCGTTATCAGGACTTCCCTATAACATCACCAACGCCCACCGCATCAGTACATCCCTTATGCCAACCCCATATGTTCAGCGTTATCAGGATTTCCCCTATAACCAGATATCAGTACATCCCGCCAACCCCATATATTCAGGACAGGATTTCCCATCATAAGCCCATCAGTACATCAATGGTCCCCACCGTATCAGGACTACATCCCACCGCATCAGTACATCCCTTTACGCCAACCCCATATATTTCAAAAAACCACCAACGCCCACCGCATCAGTACATCACTTATCCCCCCATATGTCCAGCGTAATCACTTCAAATCCCTTACCCCCATATGTTCAGCGTTATCAGGATTTCCCCCATAACATCATCAACGCCCACCGCATCATCATCACTTTGCCAACCCCATATGTCCAGCGTAATCAGGACTTCTTCTATAAGATCACCAAAGCCCACCGCATCAGTACATCCCTTACGCCAACCCCATATATTCAGCGTTATCAGGATTTCCCCTATAATATCACCAACGCCCACCGCATCAGTACATCACTTATGCCAACCCCATATGTCCAGCGTTATCTTCTATAAGATCACCAAAGACCGCATTACATCCCTTACGCCAACCCCATATATTCATTAAGGATCACCAAACGCCCACCGCATCATACATCACTTATGCCAACCCCATATGTCCAGCGTAATCAGGACTTCTTCTATAAGATCACCAAAGCCACCGCATCAGTACATCCCTTACGCCAACCCCATATATTCAGCGTTATCAGGATTTCCCCTATAACATCACCAACGCCCACCGCATCAGTACATCACTTATGCCAACCCCATATGTCCAGCGTAATCAGGACTTCTTCTATAAGATCACCAAAGCCCACCGCATCAGTACATCCCTTACGCCAACCCCATATATTCAGCGTTATCAGGATTTCCCCTATAACATCACCAACGCCCACCGCATCAGTACATCACTTATGCCAACCCCATATATTCAGCGTTATCAGGACTTCTTCTATAACATCACCAACGCCCACCGCATCAGTACATCCCTTACGCCAACCCCATATATTCAGCGTTATCAGGATATAACATCACCAACGCCCACCGCATCAGTACATCAATGCCAACCCCAATGTCCAGCGTAATCAGGACTTCTTCTATAAGCATTACCGCATCAGTACATCCCTTATATATTCAGCGTTATCAACCCCATCACCAACGCCCACCGCATCATACATCCTGCGTTAATCAGGACTTCTTCTATAAGATCACCAAAGCCCACCGCATCAGTAAAATCACCATAACATCACCAACGCCCACCGCATTGGTACATCACTTATGCCAACCCCATATGTCCAGCGTAATCAGGACTTCTTCTATAAGATCACCAAAGCCCACCGCATCAGTACATCCCTTTATGCCAACCCCATATATTCAGCGTTATCAGGATTTCCCCTATAACATCACCAACGCCCACCGCATCAGTACATCACTTATGCCAACCCCATATGTCCAGCCCCTTCTATATTCAGTACATCCCTTTACGCGTTATCAGGACTTAACCACCAACGCCCACCGCATCAGTAATCACTTATGCCAACCCCATATGTCCAGCGTAATCAGGAATAAGCACCAAAGCCCACCGCATCAGTACATCCCTTACGCCAACCCCATATATTCAGCGTTATCAGGATTTCCCCATAACATTCAACGCCCACCGCATCAGTACATCACTTATGCCAACCCCATATGTCCAGCGTAATCAGGACTTCTTCTATAAGATCACCAAAGCCCACCGCATCAGTACATCCCTTACGCCAACCCCATATATTCAGCGTTATCAGGATTTCCCCTATAACATCACCAACGCCCACCGCATCAGTACATCACTTATGCCAACCCCATATGTCCAGCGTAATCAGGACTTCTTCTATAAGATCCCAAAGCCCACCGCAATCAGGCGTTATCTTTCCCCTATAACAAATCAACGCCCACCGCATCAGTACATCACTCATCCAACCCCATATGTCCAGCGTAATCAGGACTTCCACTATGAAATCAACAGAAACACAGTCATCAGTAAATATCTTATGGTATCCCCTTTATATCATGTGTCATCAGAACTTCCCGTATGACTCATCCGAACCTAATTCATTATCAGTACATCCGTTATTACATTCCCATATATCCTGCGTTACAACGACTTCCTCTATGACAGCACCAAATCCCTCCGCATCTATACATCCCTAATGTCATCTCCATATTTCTTGCGTTATCAGAACTTCCCCTGTGACATCAGCAAAACCCGCCGCGTCTGTACATTCGTTATTTAATCCTAATATATTTTTGTTTTCATGACTTCCCCTTATGACATTACCAAAACCCACACCATCTTCAATACATCTATGTCATCCCCATATATCCTGGGTTATCAGCACTTACACTCCGACATCACCAAATTACGCATCATTATGAGTACATCCATTATGCTATCCCCGTATATCCTGCTTTATCAAGACTTCCACTTTGACATGTCCAAATCCCATCTAATCATCAGTACATCTCTTATGTGATCCCCATATATCCTTCGTTTACAGGACTTCCTATATGACATTCACAAAATCCACGTCATCATCAGTACACCCCTTATCGCATCCTCATATATTCTGCGATATCATGTCTTCCCCTATGTTATAACAAAAATCAACTTCCATCATCAGTACCACGCTTATGTCACCCCATATATCCTGTGCTATCAGGACTTCCCCTATGAGATCATCCAAAACACCTCATCATCAGTACATCCCCTATGTCATCCCCATATATCCTCTGTAATCAGGACTTCCCTTATGGCCTCGTCAAAACCCACCTCATCATCAGTATATCCCGTATGTCATCAGCATATACTCCTTCATAATGTGTATATCCACTATGTCAACATCATATAGCCCCTTATCATACGTACATTCCCTATCCCATAATCATAATCTCTTCAGCACTAGTACATCCACACTATGTCATCACCATATACACACTCGTCATCTTGACTTCCCCTACCTCATCAACATGTCCCCATCATCATGAATACATCCGCTGTCATCAGCATACACCCGACCATCTTGTAGCGATGATGAGCGTGATCATATCATCTTCATCGTCAATACATCTCATATGCATATGCCCCTAGTCATCAGTACATTCACTATGTCATCAGCACAGCATATACCACCATCATCAGTACATCCCCTATTTCTTCTTCGAAAAGGACATCCAATCGGTTGTGAAATGGGGGGGAGGAGTTGGCTGGTTAACTTTAACGCCTCAAAAACAAAAGTGTTCTCTATTTATCACCGCAGAGATCCTTCACTGCCCCACCCCATTAAAATGTCTGACGCTCAACATCTCGAGAGCACCTCTTTGCGACTACTCGGTCTCACATTGACTGCTGACCTGAGATGGAACAAATACATAAAGTCAATAGCTTCGTCCATCGCAAGGAAAGTTGGCTCTCTGTGCCGCGCCAGGAAATTTTTCTCCCCGGAATCGATCCTGCAAATCTACAAATCAACCATTCGCCCTTGCATGGAGTATTGCTGAGATATATGGTCTGGTGTCCCTTATGTTTGTCTCAAGGTTCTTGATAAAATCCAGAGATGTGATCGGCCGTAATCTGTCATCTCGTCTGCAGTCGCTCTTTCACAGACATGCCGTCGCTCTCTCACAGACATGCCGTCGCCTCCTTCTGTCTTTTTTGCAAATACTTTCATGGTAACTGCTCCGATGAGCTGCTTTCGCTGGTTCCCAGACTTCATGAAATTAAGGGTTCTACTAGGCTGGTATTTCGCTCTCACCCTTTCACTGTCGAAGCTGTTAAATGTAGCCGTCTCTTTTACTCCAATAGCTTCATGTCTCACACTTCTCGCCTGTGGAAATCCCTCCCCTTTTCCTGTTTCACTGATAGCTATAATCTCCAACTATTCAAATGTAATGTCAATCGACACCTCCGAATGCCTTGACCTATCCCCTATCCTTCTCTTCATCCTTCGTCTTCCACTCCTATTTGTTCTCGCTCCATCTTGCGTGCTAGTGGCTTCCCGCCTTGCTTTCGGTGAAACTCCTGAAAAATCCCCTCTTCATCAGTGATGTCATCAGCATATCCTCCTCATCAGCAGTACATCCCCTATGTCATATTTACATTCGGTATCATTTTCAAGGAATCCAGTTCGGAGTTAATAGTCTTCATGAGCGAGGTTATTTTTGTATTGGCTTTGTTAAAGTTCTTGTTCGCGCCAGATACTGTCCACCATACTTGAATTATATCCCGGATGTGAGATCTGTGGGTGTTGAACAAATGAACATCCGGCTGTGTAAGTGTCTGCATGGAATATGGGATATATATATTTGATTTGAATTATTAAATTTAGAGTGAAGCCCTTCATTTTATATATAACCATGCGCTTAACTTTACGTATTTTTACTTCACACTTTACGCGTTATACACAATGAGAAAAACTTTCGATAAATTTGGAATAGTAATTTTTGCGTTCATGTATATTTAACTATGAGTGAACAGAGAAAACATCATTTCGATGTAATAAGATAATGTAGCCACAAACTCTGTACAGACGTTGTCTTTGAGGTAGACCTTTTACTTTTACTTTCACTTTCACTTTCGCTTTCACAATTGCCTCCGGGATTACATGTAATTAAGAAGTTATTTCCCGGCACGTGGACGTATTTATTTACGCGAATCTACTCATGATTAATGAAACTTGGGTGCTTCATTGCGAATGCTTATGTGCAGACATGTGTATGCTAAAGTCAATGAAAGATTGTAGGTATGTCTATGTATGTAGAAAGTTTTTGCATAGTCAAACAAATAAGAACATTGTGGATGTTTTCATGATCTTGTCTGCTGCTGAATGTTTTCTCAGTGTAAATATGTGATTCCATTGAATTCTGACATTTTTTTTTCTTCCTAGAAATCTTTCGTTATATGTTCCTTAATGTCGACATTCATCGACCTCTATGGAATTGTATATATGTCTGTCAGGTTGTGCTGTGTAGTGATCTTACATAAAAACTTGTACTGTCTCTCTCTCTCAATATATATATATATATATATATATATATATATATATATAGATAGATAGATAGATAGATAGATAGATAGATAGATGGATAGATAGAGGGACAGAGGGATAGATAGATATATAGTAGAATGTATCATCCATTTTTCTATGAATAGAGTAGTGTAGATGTTGAGAAATATTTTTATATGCTTAAAATTGAGTATGGCTGCCATATATGGGTATAATCTATCCAGTCCTCACACTCCAGCCTCGATAGAGTCCAAAAGTGTTTCCGCGACAAATTGTTTTACACCCTGGTATATCTTTGTCATGGGCGGGATGTGGCAAGGCTCTCGATGCTCTATGGCTACACCCTTGAAAAGTGATCGGACATTACTTGATTCTATCTGTTCTCAACTTCACGGCTAGAACCCGATATGCTACTGGCATTGAAACAAACTACCCATATTCCTCTGAGTGCTCTTTTACTTAGAAGTAAGTTACCCTAGAACAGCTTCTCCTTCGAGCCACTGCTCTGTGGAATCAACTCCCAAGAGGGTGTTTCCCCGATCACTATAATCTCATTCTATTCATATCAAGGGCTAACCATTATTTCCCCCTCCTATCTACTATTTGATGCCCCTGAATTTATCCCTCTACCTCGAGTTTCCCACCAACTTTGTACAGGATGAACCGTAATGTAAAAAATATATACGTATATGTATATGTAAATATACATGTATATAATATATTTCTATATGTATATATATATCAGTGATATATGTCTGTATATTTGTATGGTATTTAAACTACATATTAGATATTATATTTATATGTTTGTATTTGGAAATATGTAACTATATGTATGTATACAGGGTGCGATTGATGAATTGTCGCCAATTTATATTTTTGATTTCGCGCATGCGCGTTGTTTTTTAAATTATTTTTTTGACTGCACAGTATAGGAGGGTCAGTTGGGCACCGTCTGTGAGAAAAAGAGCATATTGATGCAATTCACTCCGACAGAAATTTGATAACGGCAAGCTGTACTGTTTGGCATTCGCACAGGAGACTCCAATACGAACATTTCATATGTTTTGTCAATCTGGGGACAGTGCAGCGGATTCGGAAAGTGTTGGATGAGTCTAATGGCGAATGTGTTTGGAATCATAACTAGTGATCACTAGTGTTTCATCTTTCCACGGGGCCTCAGACTCAACACTTGCCTTGAGGAGGTAGTGCTGTCCTGGGTCAAGAGTGTGGCCGCTGGAAGATCCTATGTCTGGTAACAGGACTCTGCACCATATCACACAATCAGGAGAAATTTCTGTGGCCATATCACCCCTTACTTCCCAGACTGCAATCCCCTTGATTATGTGTAGGCCATAGTTAAGAGAGAGAGACCAATAAAACTCCTTGTAAAACCATAAAGGAACTCACATTCATTCATTCATTCATTCATTCTTTCTTTCTTTCTTTCTTTCTTTCTTTCTTTCTTTCTAAGTGTTCCTTTTTGGTTCATTTCCCTCTTAAGTCTCTCCATCTGATTTTTATTCATATCTTAGTGTTTTAAATTCTTGATTTCTTTCATTATTTTTTCTTTCTTTCTTACTTACTTTCTTTCTTTCTTTCTTTCTTTCTTTCTTACTTTCTTTCTTTCTTTCTTTCTTTCAAAGTGTTCCTTTTTGGTTCATTTCCCTCTTCAGTCTCTTTCATCTTATTTTTATTCATATCTTAGTGTTTTAAATTCTTGATTTCTTTCATTATTTTTTCTTTCTTTCTTTCTTACTTTCTTTCTTACTTTCTTTCTTCGATTTACTTGTTCCTTTCTTTCTTTCTTTCTTTCCTTCTTTCTTACTTTCTTTCTTCGATTTACTTGTTCCTTTCTTTCTTTCTTAATTCTATCCTTTCTTAATTTTTTATTTTTACTTCTTGCTGTTTCATTGTTTCATTTCTTTCATTCATTTATTCTTTCCTTCCTTTATTCTGTCTTTCTTTCTTTCTTTCTTTCTAATTCTATGCATTCTCCAATTTTGTTTTTCTTCCCTTCTCAGTGTTTCTTTCTTTCTTCCTTTCTTTCATTTTTTCTTTACGTCTTTCTTGCTTTCCTCCTTTCTTTCCTTTTTTATACTTTCTAATTTTCTTTCATTTTTCTTTCTTTCGTTCTTTCTATCTTTCTTTCTCTCTTCTATTCTTTCTTTCTACGTCTTCCTTTCTAACTCGTTTCCATCTTTTTTTAAGTCTTTCCGTTCTTATTTTTCATTTTATTTTAAAAGTGCCTCTTTCTTCCTTCGTCCAATTCCTTCCTTCTTTATTTGGATGGGGGGTCATTTCCCTATTTCTGCTGTCTATCCAGTTTACTTTTACTCATATATAAGAGTTATTTCTCCTTTCTTTTTTTCTTTCTTTCTTTCATTCTTTCTTTCATTGTACTTGTTACTTTCTGTGTCATTTCTCTCTTTCTTAATTCTATCAATTCATAATTTTTCTTTCTTTCTTTCATTCTTTCATTCTTTCTTTCTATGTTTGTCTATTTCTTTTATTTTTTCTCTCATTTTTTTCATTTTTTCTTCCTTTGCGTTCCTTTCTGTCACATTTTCCTTGTTTTCGTCCTTACATCGTTGA